TGGCTAATGAATGAACTAATCAGCTAACTGTTTAATACAAATGTGAGTAAATGGACAAAACGGTGTTCAGGTTGAAAAACCACCTCTCCAGCTGCAATGTACATTAAAAATACATATTTGGTTTTCTCTAACCCTTACCTTAGCAGGTAAATTAACCATTAAAATTAGTGCTTACCTGAACATATTTTGGTGATTTTCTGATTCTAATTTCATAGCCATAAAGTAAGGTTTTCCTATTTTGAGTCTAGAGACACAACAGTAGCAAAATGCACACATTCTATCACCTGGATGACACTTTGCATAATATTCAGGCAGGAAAACAAATCTGCATATTTAATACTGCCAAAGGGAATCTGTCAAAACCAAAGAAGCACTGGATTACATCAAGTACATTTCCAATTCTTGCTTGAGGAAAAGTAGATTTAGAGTTAATCAAACAGCAATCAACCAACTGCATTATTAGAAGACAGGATTTTTCAGCTCTGGTTTAAATTCGTGAAAAGACTTTGGTCTCTGCTTTGTGTTTGAGTGATGGTGTGATCTGCTGCAGAACCTCTGAGCCTTTCCTCACTAAAGTGGATGAATAATGAATAACCACCAGGCATTCAATAATAAAGAACTTTGGGATAGGTAAATGTGTAGGGATGAAATGAGGAGTCCTTTGACAGAAATTACAGACCAAACCCCACCCCCAGCAGGGTTGTGCCTCTCCTGTGGAAGTGCCCAGCCCTGCAGAAGCAGAGGCTGTAACCACAGAGCCACCTGAGCCCCAATTCAGGGTCACCAAGCCTGGCCAGGTCACTCTGGGCCCTTTCCCAAAGGGTTTTTTTTGCCCATAGGGTAGAGGCACACACAAGAAGGAAGCCTGGGTCAGTCCAGATCCTGTTGCAGCTACTTCTGTCTAAAATAGAGCACAGTAAGGCTGACTTCCCCACACCACTCAATTTCAATCAAAACACTTAAACAAAACAATCTCATGTACAAATTTAGGGAATAAAAAAATTCAAGTGTAAAGCACTGCTGAAGCCAAGATTTGGCTCCCAGTCAGGAATCCACCCATCAGAATTCAGTGCATCCCTCATACTGCACAGTTGAAGCAGCAGTAAAAAAAATTAAAGGACAGATATATGGTTTTGGGAATCTTATTTTAGTTTGTTTGTTTGTGGGTTTTTTTTCTACTGGGCATGATTTTTTGGCATCATGTATCCATGTGTTATCAACATCCACGTGATGGTTTCATTAAAAATCTCCTGAATTTGACCTTTTTTATCAGCTTATTGATATACATCCTTCTCAGCTACACCTAAACCTGTGCAAGGGGGACTACCCACTGGCAGCTAGTAGCAAAAATTAATCCTGTTAGCACCTGCAAGTAATTTGCAGACTACATGCAATACCAGCAGCTCAGTAACACCTGTGAGGTCAGATGAATCAGAATTATTGCTGACTTCTACCAGTAACTTCTACCAGAGAGGAATTGGATATGAAGCATTCAGACACCCCAGACTGGATATTTTATTTTTTTTTATTTTTTAAATTTATACTACCATGAATTTTCCTTACACCTATTTAAATTTCAATGAGCTCCAAAGATGTACCTTAAGAAGAGGAGCTTGTTGGCAGGCACATTTTTCCGCTGGCAGAATATGTTCCTCAAACAATTATGTCTTATCACAACATTCACTTAAAATTTTACATCAAACTGTTATCATGGGGCCTTTTTAAAAACCCCTCATTAATGATGATTATGTAAGTACCATTAGATGTGAGACATTCCCATATTGCTCGTAGGAGTTATGATTTAATTCTGCTAAAATCTACTCTACCATTTGTGTAATCACTCCTGACATTTTACCTTTTGTTTTGTAAAACATTATTGTCTTTCACAAGAAAAAAAAAAAAAAAAAGATGATATTTTGGTTGTCATTGCAATCTGATTGAAAAGATGTTATTAATTAAATCTTGTACACAGTTATACCTGAAAACTCACTGGCAGCTCTTGGGGGGAGATATATTACTGGAAGACAGTTGTTATTTAGGTCACTGAGGCAACACAAAGGCACTAATAAATCCCACACACATTCCTGTGAGTTAGGCTGATATTATTCAGCATTTGTGGGGAATAATTCAACTTTGGCCTTTCACAGTGACCAGCATGGCTCAGAGTGCTCCATGACTCCAGGGACCTCTACAAAGGAATATTTGCATTTGCTTTAACTCAGGAGATGAGTTTGCAAGCACACAGAAGCAGAGGTGAGAACTCACTGTTCCCACAAGAAATAACTCCAGGTTCTGGTTTAGAGAGCCTAGGCTGAGGTTCTGACCAAAAGGGGGAGGGCAAAGACATTTTACCAAAGCTGGAAGTTTCATTTTCTGTTTGTCACTCATTTACTTTTTTTTTTTTTTGTCATCAGAAGGGTTAACAGAAAAAATGCTCTTTCACAGAATAAATAAACAGAAACAGCTACAAAATTCCAATTGTCTATAGCCAGAGCTTTGAGCAAGTCCCTTAACTAGCAGCAAATTTCCTTTCACAGCAGTTAGTGGTAATCCTCCTCAAGTTAATACTACACTACAAACACACACTATATCTACATATATATATATATAACATGTATATTCTCCTGAGCAGAAACAGTGTCCATCTCACAGACAAAGAGGAGAATTTTCTTAAATTATTATAATAGACATTGGCTTTTTTCACCATTTTAATTTTAGTGCCCATATCTTTGTAGGGAACAGAGAATTTTATCACGAAAGAAGTTTTGAAAGTTCTTACTTACCTTGGTCACATAGAACACAGGGAATTAAGTTTTCCTCCATAATGTGCTCTTTGAGCTGGGGTTGGGGCTTCTGAGTACTCTGAAAGTACCTGTGATGTGACTAGTGATCAAATTACTTCATGAGGAAAAGTTCATCACAGGGCAACTGCTTAAAATGCAACATAAACACGTCTGTGTCAATATTTTGACTTCGTGTAAACAATTCAAGCTGCATCACTCTGGAGATAATGACACGTAATGCTGTATAAAATACTCTGCAAGGGTTTTACTGAATTAATTTGCATTTGAACTCTGGAAGAAAATTGGTCTGCAGTGGAAAAGTGTGAACTTCTGTGGTCCTGTTAAATATGATCCTAACAAGGTCTGGAGCTTCCAGAAGGTATCCTGGGAAAGGGCTCCACTACTACAAGGTAAAAGGGAAATAATTTATTTTCAGAGCCTGCACTGTCTTTAATCCATTTATAGAGCTTCAGAAATTCAGTATGACAGACTGGAATATATGATTCTGCCTGGGTATAAATGACATATTTCTCACCACTCTGATGCTACACCTCTGGGCAAACACTTTCTCCTTTTTTTGCCACATCACGAGTTCAAGCTGGAAAGGACACTGATCAGTGTTTCAGAACCCTGCCAATAAAACTAAGGGAAAGCAATCTGTACATAGGAGTTTATTTAGATGCCCACAAATTTTAAATCATTCCCCTTCATATCTCAGCCCACTGGGTATCTTATCCAGCTGAATTACCATTGGGTTTTACAATGTGATATACAAAATGAGCTGACATTATGATTTACAAACATCCTTTGAGTATCATATAAAACACAACTCTTTCCCTTATTATACAATCATCAGGGCAATGCAAATAGAGTCAATACATTATTAGCTGAAAATGATGGGGCATTTAAAGGAAATAAATTTAACTTTACCACACAAAGCTGTTAACTAAAACAAAACCTGTTTAAAAAATTGAGATCAAGTTACCTGAATGACTGAAAGTAATTTTATATTCTTTGCCACTGTCCCCTTATAAACATAATATTACTTCATTTAAAAGACAACTAATATTTTCACTGTATAGTCACACTTCTTTCTTATTAATCAGTTTCACATTTTCTGCATGAAACTATGAAAAACTCACAAATGTAGACTTTCCAAACTGTAGCCACTATAGTTATTTCTGCAATCTTTTCCATATATTCAGCGTGTTTAATTAAATAAATAAAAAGGAAAAAAAACACTACACAAATGAGCAGAAAAAAATCACAACAGCACATTAAAAATGTGACATTTAAGCTGTAGATGCATTGCCATAGAAATATATTCTTGTTCTAACGCCACAAACTTTCTAGCCTCCTGAAAAAAATAGACATTAGCTGAAGAGAATCTAAGCTCTAACCTCCACAGAGGGCTAAGAGTCTTGATTTAAATTCCTGTCTAAACTTAGGTCCTCCACAACACAGCAAATAAGTATTTTTGAATGTCATAAAATTTGAAAAGATAAAATCTGTTTCTGAGCTGTTGGTAATGGAAGTTCCCAAGCATTAAGGTCTCCTGTCCTGCATGCTGCTGGAACAGGCGCCTCTGCACTTTGTCACTATGGCAGCAGTAACTGAGGATGACACACATCATTATTACCTTAAACACAAAAGAGGAAAAATTCTGAACTCATCAATGATGTTACAAATGCAAGCAAATTCTAACCTACTCAAACTCTGTCATCTTAAGGGTCTCTGACTCTTTTAGTAGTGTATAATCCAGAGGAATTATACTCAACAGAATACTGATAATGACTGGTGATTCCTTCTTGAATATGTGCTGAATTGGCAGTGGGATGGGGTTTTAGTTCCATTTCTCACTACAGAAGTCTTGTTGCTGCTCTGCACGTTTGGAGAAGAAAGTGCTTATGCTGCCATTTCATTCAGTTAATGGCATTTAATTTTATAGTTTAAGACAGACTTATTTTGATTACTTTCATTCTGTCCATACCTTTGAATGCTTTAAAATGTTGGACAGCTGTGAAATATAAGTACTATGCAATCTGACTGTACATACATACATATTTTCATAAATACATCTAACAGGGACCTTGGAACCAAGTATGTGATATCATGGGACAAAATCACGACAGGCTGTCTTATTGGTAAAATCTAGATTCAAAGTAAGAAGAGCTGAATTCTATCAATGTTGTCAATACACAAAATTAAAACAAAAATACAGCATTAGTTTACCCATGAAATAATTTAAACATATTTGCAAATTTCTTTGACAGGAAAAGTGTGTGATTTACAACATTGAAAACTTGTAGCAACCATTGATTTCTATTATGCACTGTACTGGAAGTCACCCGGACAAGGCTAGCAAGAATGAGCAGAGTGACAGGTCCCAAAGGCAACTCCCAAACATCTTCCTCGTTCGGAGACTTTGGTAATTGTCTGTTGTATAAAATGCCAATGCACACAGCTTCCCTTCAGGTGTTAACTCCAGCAGCTCTCCTCCCTCGGCTCAGTCCAGTCTGACCAGGTCAGTTATTGTTGAGACACTCTAAATCCACTGAGCAGCACACATTGCCATTCTGCACGGACAAACAAGCAGAGCAGGTCACAGGGAGCTCAGGGCTGGTGGCATGCAGAGACAGGAGCATCCCTCACCCATCTCCCACCTAACAACACCTGCCCCCAGGGGCAACACCCAGCCAGGGGTGGCCACTGCTGCCAACCATGGCCCTTGGGGGAGGCCAGCTGTGCCAAACAGCACTGGACTGGCCAAACTGCCACAGCAACCTGAAACCTGGATGTGGCCCCCATAATAAAACACAGCATAGCAATGGCAACAGGTGACTGGATTTTTCTCTCACGCACAAAAGTTAAGGGAGAGAATTTTGATGTGATCCACAGGGGGAAGCTTTCTGCTTGTCTGAAACTAGCAGACAATACAGTTCTTGGTTCATGGCAGATATGGAGGGGATGGAGGCAACATAAACACCATGCAGCTTTGGAATTTAATCCATTGTTTAGTATCTTTTTCTAATATACAGTTATTTATAAAGCTATTTTATGTAATAAAAAAGTACAGCAACTACTAAAAGCCCAAATGAGCATTTTTTTACTTTTCTTTTTTTTAATCCATCACAAATCTACAGACAAAAAAACAACTCAAAAGAATGGCAGAAAAGCTACCTTCAATAATTTAAAGCCCTGGAGCAATAGCTTTCTTTCTCAGAGTGAACAGAAGAACATTTTATATAAGCCAAAACAACATTTTCATAATTCTGATATTAGCACAGTGGGGTCATCACTGCACAAAGCACAGGAAATAGACTGCACTCCTGCTTGAGAGCCATTGGATTAAATATGTTTTGATGAGATCAGGGAATAGAAACTGTGATATTCCCATCACTATTGTGGGAGTGCCTTTATCTTGGAGCTGCAATGCCTTTTTACTTGTGTACTTGCTGGTGAAACTTTTATAGCAGTGTTTTTGCCTCATCTTACCAGCTCTGTAATACACATTTTCATGAACATCCACACCAGCTAATTTTTGAAATGTTACCCTTGACTCGTACTGAGAATGCCTGAAGGGCACTTCAAGAGAATGTCTGAAAATTGCACCAGGATATTAACATATCTGTATTCAACATTTTCAACAAGGAGAGAATTGTTCCGCTTACACTCTGCCAAATAGAAACCACAGGGGTTTTCTGTAGGGCCTCAGGTCTCATTTAATTCCCCAAGATCTTAATGTGAGCCTCCAGGGGCAGAAAAGTCACAATTTTATCAGGAACATTCCACAACCATTCCACCTGGCCCATCGTACCTTGCATTTGCAGGTTGTACAAGGAGATCCCACCATTGTCCATACAGCACCACTCAGCCGTGTGACCCCAGAGCCGTCTGGACAGGTTTTCCTGATGTCATAGGTGATGTTGTCAGCCAGACAGGGGTCACTGACACAGTGGGGACAGCACTCTCCTTCTGAGATGGCCGTGTACTCACAGCTCAGGGTCGGGCACTGAAGAGGCCAACAATCCACCTCTCCTTCCTATAAACAGTGAAGCAAATATAGAAGCAAGTCATTGAACTCGCCAGTTACGAACCAACAAGAAACTTTGTACCCTTTTGAATGGAAAAGCATTGTTTTGCCAAAATTGCAATAAACTGAAAGGTTCAGACCTCAGTTTGGTTGACCACATGAATACATGTCTGAATACTGAGCTGAAGTTTCCTCAGTGTAGCAGATTATCATTTGGTTGATTCCTGACTGAACAACACCACTGTCATCATAGCAGGGGAACTTGAGTTCTTTGGGGTTTTTGAAGGCAGGGTTAAATACTGGGTACTAATATTTTCTACAAACTATAATTTTTGCTGTGATTGCCTTGCAGACTCATGCACTCTTTCTACTCCTGATCACATAAACATCTCTGCAGGATCACAGCAAGCGTTTAAACAGAAAATTAACACTGCAGATGGATGTAGGTTAGTATGTTGGAGAAGCACTGAACATCAATCTAAGTAGCAACTGCCAATATCAACTTTATTGCCAGCTCCTAAAGGAATTGTTAGAGCAATACCATTTGTGTTCCACTGACTCATTTTATTTCATTATTTACTTGCTTTTATTATATTATTATTTTTATTTGAAAAGTAGCTCCAACAGTTTAGTCGATAGACATGGTGAAGACAAAAAACATCAGGCCACTTCTGCAGAGTATATCTCTGTATGTCTAAATTTAACCTGCAAAGGTCTTCAACAACTTGCACTATGCTGCTCTGTAAACACTTCATCTGAGAAGCTGAGAACATCCCACACTGCACAGAGCCTTACACACAGCACTGATTTAGGGTATCACTGTCTTACAGCTCTGGATGTTATCCCAATCATAAAATTAGGAAAGAAACCGCAAGCCACAGTCTCAATACTTACTTTGCATTATGGCTAATTACCTCATGACAGTAACTTAGCTTTGAATGTAATTTCCTTCCTGATGCTCAGACACCTCTTGATTAATAACATATATAAAGACTATGTTATACAGACAGCTATAAATGGAAAACTGATAATTTTCATGAACTTCATTGATGCACTAATTAGTACATCTATGAAAAACTTAAAGCTTTAAGGGAATAATCCATAGTGTCTAATGAGAAAATAAGAGTTAGTTATTTTGTATGTTTTTCTAATAATTTCATTCTTCTTTATCCTTCTTTATTTGGTTAATTTTTTTGAATTTATACATTGGCACTCCATGTTTCCAGATCTGTAGAATTCAAACAAAGAAATTAAGTAAATTTATTGTTCCTTATAACAAACAAGCCCACCAGGTGTAATTAAAAAACTGAAACTTCTCCAGCCAACTGCATCACATGCGTAAAAGGTTTGAAAAAAGTCATTAAAAGACCAGACAACCTTATGAAAGTTCTTAAAAGTAGACTAATGCTAAAATTAATGTAGTGTTGAGGTTTCCAAGCTTTTGTCAAGCCTTCAGTTTTTCTCATTAGACCCACTTATTCCACAGTAAGACAAAAACTGATGGTGTAGCTTTCAGCTCTCTGGGGCTCTGTAAGTGCTTTATCATCACCCCCAGTGTGAAAAGCAGGTGAAGAAAGAGCCACGAGCCTGCCTCCAGGTCTGTTTTGCTGCAAGTCACAGTGGTTATTACTCTGACTCCTCTCCAAAACTGCTTTGCCCCTACCAGGCAGCGGCAGTGCTGGCAGCTGTAGGTCCAGTTGTCCCCACTGCGGTAGAGCTTGTGCCCAGTCTGATCGAGGCACTGGCTGGTGACACGGGTGTCACACTCCGGGCAGCAGAAGAGGTCAGCACTGGGGTTCCTGCAGTCACAGGCTGTTCTCCGGCAGAAAATCCTCCCATCCTGCAAGGACACATTGCCCCGATGTCAGCACAACCTGCCCACACAAGGACACAGGGCTGCACATCAAAGGGCACATCTTTGGCTTGGCAGGAAATATTAATTTCTTATTACTCCTATTCCCTGCCAATAAGGACTGGATCTTGCCTGTCATAATACAACAAATACCAGTACTATCCTAGTTTCTGTCAGCACATGGATCCAGTTCTGTCTGAATCTGAGAACACTGTTTTCCTGTCCTCAGCCAACTGAATTTAAAAGCAGTTGGTATCTCAGTGAAATACAGTGAAGCAATTTCATATCTCATTGGTTACATCAACAAACTCTTCAAGCAGTTGCCACTCTAATACATATAATATTTATTTAGCACTATTTTGACTGAATGTACCACTGTGAAGAAAATAAGTTGAATAAAGGTGGTCCCTTTAACTTAATCAGGACAAAATATAGCACAATCACAGTAACACTAATTGTTCTTTATTCTGACCTCTGTGTCTGTCCCACATCTGGACCTACAGTACACCTGCTTAAAGATAACTTACCATCATTCATTATAATTCAGTGCATGTATTACAGAGGGCCTGGATAAAGCTATATTCTGCTTGGGATCACAACTATACAATTCCAAAAGCAACTCCATTCATTTCATTGCAGGTTTTCCTAGCCTTATGGGAACTTTGTTCTGAGTCTATTAGCTGATGTAAGGAAGAAAATTTCATTGCCACCAAATATAGGAACACCTTTCAATATAAGGGAATTTACTTCCTCTGATCCTTGAAAAAAACTTGTTTCTAATAAGAATGAGTGCAGCCCAGGATGTCTTTTCAACAGGCAGACAAAACAGCCATAAGCAGAGCAAAGGATCACAGAATGGTTTGGGTTGGAAGGGAAACTAAAGCTCGTTTTGTTCTTCCCTGCCATGGGCAGAGACACCTTCCACTAGAGCAGGATGCTCAGCTTGCAGCATGGGGGGTGACTGCTTCTGATCTGATGTAGGAACCAGGGTTAGGTTCCTGTTTTAAAGTAAAGCCAGTCTTGTCACAATGCAACATGTAAAAAATGAGCATCAGGGAATAAACATGCCAGGTTAGCAAGGATCTGATCCACTTTTGCCAACTGAAGGGCATATATTACTCTACAAGCTGTGTTCAGTGTTGCATCAAACTAAGGTAAATATTATCAGTATAGTACTAGAATATGTACTAGTGGCTAGATGGCCACTTCAGCTGTGGGAGGAGGCATAAAGAAACTTTATCTCCCTACTCAGCAGTCTGAGTAAATCACAAGGAAGAATGGCAGTAATCTATTTCCTTAGCCACAGGCTTGGCCAGGTCCAGCTGCACATCACAAGCCAGCTTAGCCCAGCAGCTCTGTCAGGATGGCCAGCGTCAGGCATGCAGGGCTGTGACAGGAATCCAGGGAACCTCCACCATGGCAGTCTCTCTCCTCTTCTGTGCTGATTAATTATGGCTAACAACAGCCCACCTGCTTAAATGTAATTCAGTTTCTAAGCTTTCAAGATCAGTTTTCAAAATTCCCCTTTCAGCTGGTGACACTGCTGAATAATTACTGCTGGTAATTCTGTGCTTCCCTGAGCATGTTCTATGTTGCCTTTACTCTCCATATTTCAGAACACTGAAGAAAACTGATGGTTTCTTTGATAATCATAATCTACTGCTACTCTGTTTCGTCTCTAAGCATCTGTGTTTTGTGTACAACCTCATTAGCTCTATACCTTTTAAAAAACATTTTTATGCCTATAGTGCATTGACACAAAGCCTCATAAGCTACACTGTCTCATGTGCATCTTTGCAGCTCAGCAGTAGCCCTGAGAAATAAACAGAAAATTGAGAAATATATATAGAAAACCTTATTTTCTTTAGGTCAATAATAACACTTAGCATCTTATTACCACCTCTTCCTTCCCACCTTCCTCACTGAATCAGTTCTACATTCTTCAAAACCATCAGACGTATGAATATAAAATTTTCCTTATCAAAGGAAAAACTGACCCACAAGAGGATCACTGTTAAGGGTGGTTCAAGTTTTCACAGAGCCCCAAAGCCAGTTTAGGAAGAAATCAGACCCTGCAAAAACCAAACCACCAAAAGGTTCTCACCTTCAGGAGCACACATCAGCTTGGCAGATCCCCCTGCTCCCAGTGCTGCATGTATCTCCCAGGCCTTTATAATACAGGGAAGGGAGGGTTGTCATGACCAGAAAAAAGACTTGAAAGCTCAGATACAGCCAGGCTGCACAGCCAGGCTTTGCCTCTTTCATGAGAGCACAATAGCTTCCCACTCCAAATGCTACCAGCCTTAAATCTGCTGGTCTATTAAATCCACAATAGTTCAGAAAGATGTTTATACAAGACATGTCAAGTACAGTTAAGGAATAATGTTAATTTATAGTTTTGAGAATTTATTATTTTGTAAACTTTATGTACATTTAGATGAACAAGAATGGTTTGAAAATACTGGGTCCAGTGAAATAGCCTGTGCTTCAATCATGACACTTTGCTTCATTTTATAAATGAAGCAATATAATTTCCTATATTCCATAGTATTCTCCTTCACAAATAGCTTTGAAGTTCATTAAGTTAATGCATTTAATTTCCTTTGTACTGGATTGTAAGTTAAAATATTTTAAAGATGGTAACTATGTGTTTCAGCCAATGAACAAAATATATCTACCTGTCCTTTGCCAGAATAACTATAGCAAAAGAAAAGCCGGTTTTAGTTCAAAACTGAAATGCTGATTTGCCTCCTGGATAAATCAAGTGAGTAGAATCATTGCAAAGCTTTAGTAAGTAATACAAGGAATGGTTTAGTTACATTCTGGTCTTTTCCTCACTGCAAACTGAGCAGGCTGCAAAAGATCAAGCAGGGCCAGTTCTCCATGCAACTGCATAAAAAGGAGAGTTTTGAGAAGTAGTCTGGTTTATTGGAAGCTATCAGGATGTATAAAAATGTATTTCATTAAACACTGAGTGAAGACTTTACATTCTGCCCGAGATGTGATATACAAGGAGCTCCTTCTGTTTTCCCTGTTCTATAGACAAGAATTTGCTCTTGAAACAGGCAGCTACTGGAATGAAATGAAATGCAAATGTTAATTCATAGAAGGAAAAAGTGAAGTGAGGAAGACACATAGTAAGAGTCGTAACAACAGTATCAGGCTCAGTTTAAACTATGTACCAGTGAATCATCTCTGTATTTTCATATACTAGTAAGAACATTCAACATAAGAAATACATGCAATGAGAAATGGCAAATAAATTGCAAGCAATCTAAAATGTGAATACTAACAGTTATAATTCTGCAAAGGCAGACTAGATGTCTTCACATTTATTAAACTGCTTATTCTATTGACTGGAAAGCCTTCCATAAGCTTGCTGGTTCCCCAAGATTACCAAAAAAGCTTGATATTCAGTAAAGTTTTACATATCAGCTTGTGATAGGAAGAGTTTTAGGGAGCTTGAGGCTACTTGAAGTAAAAATATAGCAACTAACAAGAACATATGCCCTACTGAGCCCAAACCAGCAGTGTACTTTTTAGGTTGTATTCACTCTGAAGTCTTAATTTTCTCTTCTGCTACACCACTGCAGAACAGAAAGGATGAGGCTTTCAGCTTCTTGCAACTTCAAAACACCTCTTTCCCCTTGTTCCCCCTCAAACCCTCTTATGCTTCTCTGGCTCCCAAGCATTGAGATATGGAGACTGATAGGACAATCGCCATGCTCCATCTTCAGTTTCTTGCAGAGGCCAAAACCTAATTTTACATGAACTCATGTATAGGCCTGTAGTGGTGTGCTGTGCCTTTGGACAGCTTTACCCTATGCTATGAACAAATCAAATCAGAGGGACCATAAAAGACCAACTCCTTCTTGGATTAGGGTGTTTCTAAAATTCTTCTGATTTCAAAGAGTCCATTCCTCTGTTAACTAGTGAAAATCAAGAAAGCAGAGCCAAATGTTCTTCTAACTTGGTTACCATATGAAGAAAAAAAAAAAGTAATTTCTAGGGGGGAAAAAAAACCCAACAAGTCAAAAAAAAACCTCCACTCCGACCTAAATGTTAACTCTTTAAGGTACATCCACTGATACCAGACCTGGCTCCTCCAAACAAGCAGAGAGAGCTGCACTGCTCAAGTGGGAGACCTGCCAAGACAGCCAAGGAAAAAGCTGCCCTTCACCCTTCTTCACTTTGAGGAAATTAAGTGCCTGCTGCTGGGTCTTCTGACCTTTGACTCATGCTCAGACCTTTCTTCTCACCCAGTTAATTCAAATGTGTTCCAAGCAAAGGGAAACCCAGCCAACAGGAAGTGGGCTGACTACAGAGCTGAGAGATGCATATTTATATGAAAGAGAAATTAAAATCAGTTTCCAGTAAGCAAGCAAGTAAGCTCTTAAGTAAGGAACGTGCACATTGTGTTAAAGAGTAATGCAAGACCCTCTACAAGGCACACTCTGAAATGCTCTGGTGACATGGTAGAAGCTCAGCAGGGTTAGCCACTATTCAATGATGTGTGTGGTTGTGCAAATCAAGGAAATAAATGCCTTCCTGGAGGAATATCCTCATCCCAGCTTCAGTGTCCACAGCACAGCTTACCTTTTGCCTCAGTGCCCTGGGCTTAGGCTAATATTTTTGCCAACAAAAAAAAAGTAGCACTGCAATATTGGGTTTTTTTGACCTGAGCCCAGAGAATTAAAGGACTCCTGAGTCCCAGAGCAGCTGGATCTCACCTTGCAGGAACAAACAGAGCCTCTGTCCTCTCTCAGGGTCCACACCTGCCCATTCCGCTTGAAGCCACCTTCATGGGGACAGTCTCCAGTGCAAGATGGCCCCGATGGACAAAGGCAGTCAAAGCCTCCTGCCAGGTTCACACAGGCTGAATCATTCCAACAGGTGTGGATCTTTAAGGCACACTCATCGATATCTGCAAAACAGCAGATTTATAAAAGTTTTGGGCACATTTGTCACGGGGCAAGTTTTATTTCTGCATTAAGCAATTATTGCTTATTCAGCCTTGCTGGTGGATGAGGGTGCATTCCATTTTATATTTTCCATATTTACTTGGTAGGCTTTAAGCACTGATGGTTTTTAGGTTATTCTTCAGCATTTATTTTGATTCCACAAAGAATTCTTAAACGATCTCCACCAGGCTGAATTGCAAATGCTGAGTCTGAGGTACCTTAGTGGAACCACATATCAGTGACAAACTTGAACCTTCAGATAAGGGTGCATACTCATTCCCAGTGACTGGAAACTAGACAGCAGAGTGACTTTCTGTTAACCAGACCACTCTCTGTTCTGGGTTTTACATAAAAATAGAAATGCATTATTCTTCATAATTTCCTAGCACAGGCAACATTTCCCATATTAAAAGCAGTCAGTTGAATTTTTTTCCCATTGCTGGAAGGTATAAGTGAATTGGAAAAAAAAAGGAAATAAAAAGAACTCAGAGGCACCTGATACACACACACACATACACACACACAAAGAAAGTCTTAAAGCTATGCAGTATGATTTAGCAATGACACAAAAAACAGGTGACAAGAGAAAATCATTATATACCAGAGAAAAGCAAATCACAATATCTCAATAAATTTGCTTTTAGAGGGTAAAATATAATTATGCAATATGAATTTATCTAGGGCGTTCATGCAGTGTTCTTTTTATTGCAATGAAAGCTATTAGATTTTTAAGCAAATTGTTAAAAATTAGTCTTTCTTTCAGACAATAACTTCGGACTGTTCTTAAACAATATATTGACAAATTGTCAAGTAAACTGGTGGGTCTCTTTTGTTCCAACATGAGCAATGAAAACGGTAATCAACAGTGGAAAGAAGGGTGGAAAAGAAAAACCTTTAGAAGCATGTGATGGTTTCTGTCATGACAGTTCCAGAATAGTATTAGGTGACTTCAGAAATTACAAGGAAGAACCACCATACTTATAATTTGAAATTAACTTATCGCTAGGATGAAATTTTAACCGTTCAGTATCACCCAACAGTATTTTTAACTTCTCTCTAAACCAACAAAGTCAAAAGAATTTACAAACAAAATTTACCTAAAGTCTAATTTAGATGGGACGAGATGTCCAGTGGCCTTACTATTTGGACAAATGCCATGGGTTCATGAGTCATCACCTCAAAATGTCCTGTCTTACAAAGACTAAAAATTCTCTCGTTCTGCTGAAAGAAACTATTTATAACGATCAAATCACTAAATTCACTCTGGTCTGGATAGTACAATTCCTGATTTCAATTCGTAAATACTCCAGGAATAAGTGGAAATGTGGTCATGCCCTTGGATTTGATTAAATGCAAGTATCAGCCTGCACAACTGAGTCAAAGCTTTGGGCTGCCAGAAAATCACTGTTCCTTGTTGTGCTTACAGATCCAAAGGGAAGCTGGAGGCAATTTCACTGCCTTCACAGGGCTGCACTCCTGGGCTAACCTGTGGGCCAGTCCTCTGCAAGAAATGTTCCTAGTGGTCTGACAGCATGATTCAATTGCTCGTCACTCAGACTTGCCTAAAAATGGTGCATTTTGCTGTCCTGAAAGTCTAATTTGCCAGAAAAGAACATTATTGCTCTAGTGCACAACTTAGCCATAACTGAGTGCTTGAAATACTCACTGCTGGTGGTGGAAAAGGTGCAGCACAAAGAGAAATTAAAACTTGTAGTTCATTGTTTAACAAGTGCCAGAATACTGCAAGAAGTAAAAAGCATGAAGACTGACATGAAGAGAACTATGAATGAACTGGTATCAAATGAATTATGTCCAAATAGCTATTGTTAAACTTAAAGCATTCTTAAAGATATCCCATTTTCCTTTCAATAGACTTTGACTTGTGTTTTTTGTTGAAAACAAAGCTATAAATGAAGCATTCACGTTGCCTTTGGTGGTTTCAACAAGCATCATCAATATTGTCTTCCCTACCACATTAAGAGCTCCTTGACTATAATCTGTATAGGATGCAGCAGAATAGCAGTGCAGATTAGAAGGGTAGCTTTCACAGTTCAAAACTAAAAGGATTTCACAGATGAATATAAAGCCATATTGCCTACAGAGTTGCATTTAATTGCTTTACTTATGATACTGAAATCTAATTCTGTTTCCATGTAATTTAACAGATTTATGGAAAGCCAGATGTTAGCAATTATAGAAACTAACATTATTCATGCTCTCAGCAGTACAGACCTGTTCACACAAAGCCAACTTAATTTTTTATGTGTATGCAGAAGGGAAGAACCCCCTATTTATGTACCTCTGCTGCTGTTCACCATTTAGCACACATAAAAAGGATGTCCCCATTAAGAGCAGCCCAAACTGGTAAATGGGAGATTTTTGACAAGAATCAAGCATGGCATGAACATAAATTCCTAGTTGCTATGCAGCTTTTTGGTTCTTTATGCAAATAATAGTTTATTATTCTTTTCTGGCATTTATTATTTAAAAGTTCTAGTCATTAATCAGATATAAAAGGCTTGGACACTGCACTCATTTTCAGCTGGACTTTTAACAGAACTAATTTTCTGAGAATATCCCTTTGGCAGTTTTTTTTTATCATCGTTGATTGCATTTCCTAAAGTCAGAACAAACAGATAATGTTCCCAATAACTTGAGGGAAAAAAGTTATAAGCATAACACGTTTTTGTCCCTGTCACTCCTTCAGCTTTAAACCAGACTGAGGGGGTGGGGAAGGAAAAAAATCCCAGCCAAATGCTCCCACATTGTTAGCTCAGAGTTAGGTACAGAAAGTATTTCATTTTAATGAAGATCAAATTGCCATATCAGTGTGAGATCAGCATGTAGATGGCTATGCAAAGCATGAAAGAAAATACTTGTATTTAGTGTGAAATTTCTCTTTAACTGGAATCAATGTGTCAACTTAGGTGTTGAAAAATTAGCCTAGTTCAGTTGTCCAAAACAATAATTTAGTGAATGTGGAAACTATGAGGAGACTTTTGCATTTAGCTTATTTTGATAGTATTTAAATTCTTGCTTAGCCCAAATTCTCCACGTCCTGTCAGGTTTCATTTGCTTTCCCATAACCGTTCGTAGAAGATGCAGGTCCAAAACTGGAACATTTACAGATGGGCAAGGCCAAACTGCACACAAATCTCATTTCCTGTTATAACAACACAAAGTAGGAAGGAGATAAAATATTAATTTATAAACCAAGCAACTTTGACAATGTCTTAGGTTGCAATACAGGATATGACCAAAAGTCTGTATTCTATCACCAGCTGTTAAATCCAGCTGTTGCAGTGTTCTTTATCTTCCCCACAGCCCATCCTTCCTCCAGGAGATCTCTCCTGTTCATGGCCATGCAGTCCCAGGGCAGGGCTGATCAAATTCCATCATCCCATTGGGAGATGCTCCAGCCAGGGGGAGGAACCAAGAATTCCTACCTGGATATAATCTGGAATTTGGAACACCAGAGTCAGCCTTTTTTAATTGAATTCCCAGAGAAAAACCAGATCCTTCTACATCATCCCTGCAGCTTTGGAGGAAAACTGCACCTTGTGCAGGAGCCCTGCTCCAGCAGAACCACATCTGTCACTGCAGGAGGATGCAGCCACCATGGAATGGGACTGCACCAACCCTGACTGACTGACGGGGGGTCAGGCTGTATTCTGACTCCATTAATGTTTTTGTACTATTGCATTTTATTTTAATATTCCTATTAAGTTGTAGTTTGCTTGTTTGTTTTTTATATTTACACATACTAGTAAAGAACTGTTATTCCTATTCCCATATCTTTGCCTGAGAGCCCCTTAATTTCAGAATGAAAATAACTTGGAGGAAGGGGGGTTTATATCTGCCATTTCAAGGGAGGCTCCTGCCTTCCTTAGCAGACATCTGCCTTTCAACCCAAGACAGAAGAACATTGGAAATAGCAAGGAAACTCCATATTCTTTCCCTATGTATAAAGGAAAACAACAAAACATCTGTCTTTACATTTGGAGGGATTAATTCTTTCATGGATCCTGTCAACCTATGGAAGTAATCTGATTTTCACGCCTGAAATAGGATTTTGCAATTTTATTCATTATACTGAGATTCTCTGTCACAAAAACTATTAATTAACCCAAATAAAAGTAGCAGAGTTTTCCTTCCCCTCTCCAGACAGCTCCTTTTCAAGGAGAAGTGAGGATATAGGGGAAACACCCACATTGAGCAGAAACTTGCTTTTACTGCAAAGCTTTACTCAGTTTTCTATCAACAACACAACCAGCAGCAAAGGGATTGCTGCCAAGGCACGCCAACCCTCACACAACTGATCAAGATCTTCACTCTTCAAACTCTGCAGTCAGTGCTTCTATAAACAAATGCACAGCCATAAGTACCTGACCATACACATTTTAGCAATCAGTCACATTTTGTGGATGAAAAAAGAAGGAAAACAAACCACCCGAGACGTGCTCATTTCCAATATACTCTCAAAGTACATGGAGAGCTCAGTAATGTGGGCAGACAAGAAAACAGAATCAAAATGGAAGCAAATAATCCCCTGAGATGCAATTTCCTTTTCCATCCTTTTTGGCTGTAATGAGAAGTAATTTGCCTCAGATACTATGAGAGGTCCCACAGCCACTGCATTTGAATCAGGTAGAAGACAAGCATGACTGTACATATCAACACAAGTTCATTAACTTGGTTTCACTGAAATTTTAAATCAATCCCTAGCTACTTCATTTCTTGGTTTTCAAGGCTGTTCAGGTTTTAATTGTAAGACTTTTCCATAGCACCTTAATAAATGTGTGCAAGCAAGCCAGGCAGTGTGGTGCTCTATATTATCATGATAAGCTGTTGCAGAAGAAAGAACCCCACTAATGTGCTAATTTTAACTGTTATGGTACATTAAACCATTACAGTATATTGTTAACATGAAAAATGTATGCTGGGCTCCAAAACCAATGTATGTACAAGTTAACTAAACACTGTTTTGACAAATCATTTTTCACAGGCAACTTGTCACTTAATGATTTTTGCTTTCTTTCTAAATCAAAATTATTTGGCGTTGTCTTTTAAAAAAATATCACCAAACAGATTAATTTTTAGCAAGAAAATATTTTATGATAGCACTTTATAACAGGCTATTAAAGGAAAGTGCATAGTAAATTCGATTTTGAATAAAGAATTTACTAAAGCTTTCTAAAAATATAGAAATGACTAACACAATTACCTTGAAAACATGTAACACAACTTTCTGTCAGAATACAAAAATCAGAATTTACTAGATGAAAAGTAAGAAAACCTTTATTTTACAGGATAAAATCCACTGACACCAACTCATAGTGAGCTTTAAGAAATTCTATGAGCAGAACAGAAGAAAGTAAAATAGCAGGTTTAGTTGGTCTTGGATACTCTGTACCACATGCAAACATTTCTGCCTACATAGCATTTTCCTACCAACAGATAGGGAAGTAATTCTCAGACATATGGGAAGACTGTTGAAGGATGGATCCTCCTTTTGTGTGACACAGAAAGGAGGGAAAAATAAACAAAATCAAGCCTCACTTGCTTTTACTTTCTAATCTAGGTAAGAGACACCACTGCAGCATACCATGGAATATATGAAAGCTTCAGGAACAGATTTAAAGTCCATTCAGATTTGACCCACAAGCACTGCTACACCCCACTTTTGTGGAGGACTAATACCTGTGCAGTTTTCTTTCACGAGCTCCTGAGTCCTGCCTTTTTCCAGCTCTCATTTCCCCAGGCCAGCAACTCTAATCCTGCAGTGAGGTCAGCTACACTACCTTCCAGGCTGAAATAAATGGTGAATCCTATGGAGATTTGGTGGCAGGAGGATCCATGTTAAGCTTCCCTACAAAATTTGCAGCGGTTCTTAAAGGAAAATTAAAAAAAAACCAACAAAGCCTGGCAGGCACTGCTGCCTTGGTTGTTGCTCCTTCTGTACATGCAAGTCACAGTGTAGGGACCACGAAACACAAATCTTTATGAAAAAACAGAACCAGTAAATCTGCACTCCAGGGTCTGAACAGTGCTCTACAGACTGGAAGCATCTCACTTAGAGATGGAGATTGGAAAGTATAATTTACTTTGGTTTTAGTTGTTTTTTTTTTCTCAGTAGACAGTCACAAATACTGTATCACATGACAGCTCATCGTTCTCTATCAAGTATTATTGTTTCTTTATCTCAGACTGCAGCAAAGCTCCTATTACAAAATTTTTTTAAAACCACAACAAACAAACAACACAGCAGCTGTAGCCTACGGGTTTTAATTGCAAAGCAAACTTTGGTAGCAACTTCGTATAGTAATTGTCTTTTGTCTGCAAGCAGTATTCTTAATAACACATTGTGAAAGACCAGGGGCTTACAAAAACAGTATTGTGGGAAATCAAATTACATTCTCTTAATTTGAGCCTGCTCACCCTCACTATATTAGGCTGACATCCCTGATAAAAGCTGTCTTTGGTTGATATTTTGAGCAATAAAAGAATTTTCCCAATCTTGAAGAGGCCTGGCTTAGCCACACATCCTTACTATCCAAGCTCTGGTGCAATATTTTGGCCTTCCCAGCCACATCTGCTGATTTACACAACTGTCCCTCACCAGGTGACTTCACTGTTTTCTCTTTGTCAATGAGGATACAGCTTTTAGAAGCACTGAGGTATCACACTTCCCAAAGAGATATTGTTTTTCTTAATGTTTTGCAAGCACAGCAGAGAGAGTGCAATGACTCAGCTCCCTAAAGCCTGCATAAAAATGGAGGGAAAAGAGTTAACCAGTATGCACAAATGTATCCAACAAAAACAACTGGCTGCCTGGGCTTTGGGTAATCTATCAGAGATGAGTACTCCCTCCCACTGTCTTGTGATCTTCTTTTCTTTATTATTATTATTATTAGTAGCAGTATTTATTGTTATCATTTTATAGGAAAGTGTTTAATCTTACTTTACTTATATTTTTAACCTATTTATTGTTCTCCAAGTTTGTCCTTCAGGGAGGAAGATGAAATGTTTCAAAACACACTGAAAAACTATGGCTCATACCCACCTCATGTACACAAATTCAATATACAATACACCAGGAAAAATACTGTTGCTAAGCAGATGAACCCTCCTTTATCTGAAACAGAGTGAAAGACACCAGTTCTGACTCTAAATGCTCCACCATGCAAACAAGCTCTGTAGTGTGTCATATTAGCTAGAATGGGCAGTGCTCTCTCTCTGTTGTTTTATCCAATTCTTAGTTGCATTTTAAAATAAACATCATGGTTTGAAATCAGTCAATACGGGTTAGCAGAATCTTCCAAGTAATTTTTAGTTCTTTTATTTCATTATACTGGTTTATCTCATTATACTGGAGAAGCAAACTGGTTTATTTCTCTTCCTCACTGGTACCCTGCAGCAGATGGTTCAGAGAAGCTATTTCATTAAAATAAACCCACTAATTTCACATTCTGTTTACAACTTGCATATGGCAAGATGAGCACCTCACCTCACAAACTTCCAGCATTCTGTGCAGGTCAAAACGAGGGCAGTGCGTTTTCAGGAAATCTTATTCCTGCAGTCTCCATCAGAACACAGAACACCTGGGGCTTCTTTTTGGGTGCCCAACCCTTCAAGAGTGATTGAGTGCAAGCAACACTGACCTTTCCAGCAGCTGAGCCCACCTGGGGTCATCCACAGTCCTGCCTATGTGTGTCTCTGTCTTCTGACATCAGCTTGGCTCCTGATCTTCTGCTTCCCAAATCTCTACAGGAGGGAGGAGGGATGGGGCTCTCCCCATGTCAGTGGTACAAGTGCCAGAAATGGTAAAAATGCCTCTTTCCCCCAGTTGCTTCAGAGCTTTTTGAAGGTTATGTCATGTTGCTTTGACTTCTCATAAAGAAAGTATTTTCAACATTGCTCCATTCATCACACATTTTACAACATTCAAAAAATCCAGAGGAGAACTCTTAACATTTGAGAATTCATTTAGAAATACATGACTTTCATCTTTTTTATCTATGGAATCATGAAAGGCTGTAAAATTTCCCATTTTTGACACAGCCACCCTCTGAAGAAGTTCACTGCTGTGATTTTATTGAGCTCCCCATCAGCTTAGGACAATGTGTAAAAAGCTAACTGGACAATCTACAAAATATTGCTTTGAAAATCATTATTGTTCCTCTGCATTTTTAAATTATGATATTACCTTATCCCAAGGACTTCTAATAGTCAGAATTCATAAAAGATGGGAATATTTGTTACAAGTGAATTTATATATTTTTGTTACAAACTGTTATTTTAATTATAGACTTAAAATTGCAGAAAACACCCTTTGAAGTTATGGACATAATAAATGAAATTTATATCATTAAAAAAAGAAGAAGAGTTTTCACAGAAAATTCATATAACTGACTAGAGATGAAGCAAGTGAAATTCCAAAGAAAGGACATAACACTAGGAGCCAGCTGATCTGTATTCTACAGAATTTAAAATGGGATCCCTTCTAAAGAGTTTTAAACTCACCTGATAAAATACCACATAGAAATTATGTATAAGGCAAATAAGGGTAATGCAGAATTACCATCTTCACCCTGGTTTTATTGCTGTTTACTCACTGTAGAGGCACCCAGAGTCCCACAGCCAGTGAGGAGCCAGGAGCCAGCACTAACTCCTCATGGAGCCTCATCCTTTGTCCTCCCCTAGGAACAACTGACAAACTCCTCTGCACCCATTAAAAATCCCTCTCTGCTCATGCTCTTGGGGCCTTATTCTGAAAATATGGTGCATAGAGAATTTGATGTTATTTGTGTAACTCTAAGAAATAAATTATGAAGATGCTGGAAAATGGAAAACAAGCAAACCAAAGCTGCACAAACACACCACAGATACATTCTTCTATCACTCTGTTGAAACCTGGAATTGGAAAATCACCTCTCTCCCTTTTGTGGCCAATTTTGCTGCCCAGCAAGCCCACTTTCACTGCAGACTTCACAGCCCCTTGCTCTGATAAATGGAGCAATGGTCACACTCTGGATCTTCTTGCTGTGGGAACCCCCCAGGACCGTGGGGTGCCAGGTCCAGCACAGACAGACAGACAGACAGACAGACACCCTTGGTGCACCCCGTTCTGGCCTGACACACAGGCACTGCTCAGGAACCCCTCAGTCACTTGGGAACACCATGCACAAGGAAGGAAGGAATAAAAAGGCTCTGCTGATCATTGCTTACCAACACAGGACTCCCCAGAAGGAGAATAGCTTCCATTGTCATGGAAACCGCTTCTGCACTCACAGTGGTACCACCCTGGGAGGTTAACACAGCGTGAATGGTTGTGACACTCAATGATGCCCTCTGCACACTCATCAATATCTGCCTCAGAGAAAAACACAAGCCAGCCAGGAAATTAATTTCCTTTGACACCAATACTGTAGGTTTGTTTTTTTTTAAAAAAAAAATCATAGGGGTTGGAAGTTTTTTTTAAAGATTTCCTTTAATAGATGGATCAAGGTTTATTACAGTTTCAAACAAGAGACATTTAAAGCATGACTCACATAACAACAATAAAAAATAACAATACATCATGTAATCTGTTACAGACAAGACATTCTTTTACACCGTGATTTGTTGAAAATGCAAAGCAACATGCAGATTTTTTGCGGTTTTGCTTGTGTTGGGGATTTTTGTTTGCTTTTTTAACTCAGAAATTACATTTGTCTGTGCATTTAAAGTGTTGCAGAACAGGTTGTCCACTGAAAAGGCAGTTTCAGCAATATGCCTGCTTTAAAAAACTGCATGTGCCAGGACACCTTGGAAAGAAAAAGCATTTTCTTCAGGATTTGTGTTTCCAGCATTCAGCTGAGATTTTGGCAGCTATCTGGAACTGAAGGTGCTCAGAACACTTCACATACCCTAGTTAATCTCTTTTGTTTATATGATCAAAATAAATACCTAGTACAAGTGTAACAGTGTGTGACAAACAGAAAAAGCAGTCCACGTTTCAGCTGCAATAAAACATTTAGCTGGAAAAGAGTGAGGTAAATGACAGCAAGGCTGGAGCAAGAGAAAGATACAGCATGATGAATACCCTGCTGAGTTTCAATAAATGTGCTGTTTTTATAAAGGAGTTTCTCAAATTTCTGTAACACGTTTAATAGATAGTTTGTAATTGCCAGTAACCTTGGCTAATCATGGCTGGCACCTGGCTGCTTCTCCCCTTTGAGCATTTTTCAGCATATTTTGTAGGATTGTAATTAAAATTAGCAAATTAATTATATGTTAACCTTGTGGTAATTTAAGAAGCCATTATATTTTCATTCCTCCATTCAGCTCAAGCTTTTTTTTTTTGCCTTTTTTTTTTTCTTTTTAAAATTTTCTTTAATTTTGGACAGTTTTCAGCTGAGTAACTTACCAATTAAAGGAGACTCAAATTATTTCCAAAGAATTCCCACTTTCACCTTTCACCCATTGAGATGTTTTTTTCTTGGGATACTTAGGATGTGCATAAAATTGTACATGCCAAACCACAAAAACCTGGTGAAAATAGGTTTGGAAACTACATTTAGCTCCACAAGCATCAAAGGACAAATGTGTCATGATCCTGATGCAAGACTGAGTTAAGGTGATTAACTAACCACAGAATGTAACTTTTATCTCAATTTTCAAAATACATAAACCAATATGGTTTCATGGATTGCACTGGAGCCATGTTGATGTATGTGGAAATCGATTTGAATGAAGTATCCTTCAACAAAATCCCATTTTCTTACATCTTACAAGCAATACCACAGAGAAGTTCGATTTTTCCTCATTTCAGCAACAATATTTATTCTTGTTGAAATATTGCTAAGAAACCTAAAAATGCTGTTTTCCAAGATTCATGTTTGCCCTCACTCAAGCATGAACTAAGTTATCTACATAACAGGATCATAAACAGTATTTATTTCTAGCTTTATTCAGCTCCCATCTAACAATAAAGTCATTTTTAAAATGCTTTAAGATCTGCCACCTTTTCTGTACTTTGTACTCTGTGGAAGCTAATTTTAGTGTTAAAACACTGCACGAATCTAGCTGTCCATCAACAGTGAGTGCTGCTTGCAAACTCAGACACTTTCAATTCATTACAGCAAATGGAATTTATAACCATGATCTTCTCACATGTCATGGCTGATGAAACAGGTTTAATCCTATTTGGAAAGTGAATGACTTTGCTACTGCAGGTCAATTGCAAATTAATCCTTCCTCTTACTTTCCTTTCTTTCCTAGAGTTGGATTGGAGAATGTTTCTGTTTAAAGACTGTTTCCTTGTGTCAGTCCTGTACTGGACTTTTATCTGTTCAATTTTACATTTTTAATTTGCAAAATTAATAGAGTGTTCCTAAAGTTCATTTCTAAACTTAAGCCCTTTCAAAAATATAAAATTTAGGCTCATGGCAAAGGACACTAACTAGCAGGCTCCCTGTCTGCCAGGGTACCAAAACTAAGCAGCACTTTACTCAACGGAAGAAAAGGCATTAGGTTATGTCTCCACATTATGTCAAAAAGTAAAATAATACATGGAACTCTTTCAGGACTAGATGACTTTACTGTGGCAGTACCATACCTGTTACAGCTTTTGTTCCCTCATGTGTAGGGAGACACTAACCAATTTCTTCAACCAACAGAGCTAGGAAAAAAAGACTTGCTTTCAGTTTTACAGGTTCTTCCTTTACTTCCTTGATCTCCTTAAAGCAGTAGAGCTGTGCCAGCATTGTCCTATCCATGCTGGGGGCAGTGGGCAAAGGACAAGAGAAGCTATGTGAGCTTTTTGGGAGAATCTGCCATGACAGACACTACTGGTGGGGAAGCAACTAGTAAAAACTCTTCAAGCTCTACTTCCTACCACTACCTCTCCCCTTCAGGTGAACCTCAGCACTCCTCCTTGCTCCCAGCCCAGCTTTCTCCTGGATACAGGCTGGGAGCATGGAAGGAGGATGGGCAAGCAATTCTCCCTCTGCTTCTGCAGCAGGTTAGGACTCCTTTGGCAGCACACCAGCAGCAGCACCGTGTGATGTGATGTGCATGAGGAGTGGTAGCAACAAGGAAAACCCTTAACGGCATCTCCCTTTATCCAGCACCTTACTGTTTCTAGAAATGGTGCACATAAACACTCAGAGAGGTTGAAATGACATGGTGAGCTCTGTAAGCTTCTCCTATGATCTTGTGCATTGTTTATATCATGTGTATAAACACAGGTCTGCAGGAATAGGAAAATATTGTGGATGTTTTAGAAATTGAGATTTAGGATGGTCAGAATACCGAGAGAAAAGCAAACAACAGCTTTGTAAAATGGTGTGTCATATACCATGACATTATTTAGTTCATTTAATAGACCATCCTGGGAATCCCATGTCTTTTCAAAACCCTTTTTTTGAGTATTTCTTCTGCACAAAAAATGTTGATATACATAAGAGCCAGTTCAGGGAATTAGAATCAATTCACTTCTCTTCATCATTGCTTTTACATCTTTAGATTCTAGCACCATAGATGCATACTTGCCTCAGGACAAACGTCTTTCTATCCAAGTCTGCTTTAGGGTTTTGCTAAAAAATTTGAGTTAGATACACAATATTTTTGTGTGGTTTGTGTGTTTACCAGAATGTGCTATATGTAGTTCCTTCTTAAAGTTATGTTAAGCTGAAATGGAAGTGTATAATTCTGACCTGTGAGTGAAAACAGTGTAGAAATTCTAATCTTTTCAAAAGAGCACATTAAAACCTGATCAGAAATTCTATCACTTCACCCAGGCCAGAAGAAACAACTGGTGTGCATCTTTTGGCAGTGTTCCCATGCTGTAGGTTTTGCCTGCCCTCGCTGCTCCTGGCAGCAGGAGAGGCAGTTCTGCATGGGCTTTCTGCATGTCTGTGTTAGTATCTAGACAGTCTAAAACTGAGTGCTTGTGAGAAACTGCCAATCTAATGTTTCCTTGGGAAGTGAGAAGTTTCACAGTCTTAATTTTCCTCTGCAGTCTCTGGCTAAATATCTGTGCTACCTTTGCATTAAAGGTAGTATTTTCATTTCTTGCTCTAATACAACATAAGACATGGCTGCTCTCACCAATATGACATCATTTTTGTAGTTTTTTTCATTCAAGCCTTGTTATAATGTCCATGTAAAAGGAGATCTTGTACAAACCATCCTGTTGCCTGCTTTTACCCCACTCAGTCATTTAACTGCCATTAGCAGAGAACTGTTAATGGATCTGGCAACACTCCACTATAGTGGCTTTACAAATGCTCATAAATGGCACATTTTTGTATTGGAGAATAAAGGCACCAGTTGGTTTCATATAAGCTCTTGCAGGATATTAATCCTGTCCTTTAAGGACAGGTCTGTAATTTTTACTTTTAGCAGCTTCTTGCATTATTCATAAAGGTATTTATGCAGAGAAGATAAATAGGATAATTTATCTCAAAATAAAACACAATGGCTTCAGAACCCTGTGAAAAAGTAAAATTAAAATAATTCAGTCTTTTCTAATGCCCCATCACATTTAAGTCACTGTGTGATAATACTAAAAGGAAAACTGTTCAGTGTCATGTAACAGCTAGCAATCTACAGTTTCAATGAGACAGAAGAGTTTTATTGTAAAAGTGTCTATTCATCAAATCATTATTGTATTCTTTTTCATGCAAAAAATATGCATTCCTTTTCTTTAGTTTCCACTGACTAGGAGACCTAGAAGCAGGAAAAGTGTATACTAACAAGAAAGGATCACACAGGTCTCAAGCCTCCTGAATTAAAATTGTACCTTGAAAGCTGACTCCATTGCTTCCAGAGCATTTCAGCTTTGTTTTCCACATCATAGTATTTTTCTTCAACATAAAAACACCAGAAAAATGCAGCCAGCCAACCCAGGTATTAGTTATATTTAAAATACAGCCTCCTCTCATCTCCTGCTCCAGCCTACGCCTCACTTCCAGAAGACAGAGATCTCAAGAAAGGGATGGCACTGACAGCACTATGCAAACAGTGTCCCTGCTGCAAAGGATTCATTCAACTATTTCAAATAAACCCTGAAAGCAAAGACAACTACTTTGGATGAGAACAGATTAAAAAACCTTTTTCTCTGTAAAAAACTCCAGCAAACCCTCCCATCTGCCTACCTCTACAGTTTCACATGAACTTATATAAAGGCTGAATTTTATCCTTTATTATTAACCCTTATACTTTTTATATCATTAAATCTCTACATTAGCTCTGACAGTTCACTACAAGAGGGGCCTGCCTGTATTTTTAAACATATGCAATACAAAGCACAAATACAGTTCCAGCAGCCACCCTAAAAGTCTGCTAGATTTTCCCAGCTTTAGGAGGGTCTAAAACACTCTGACCTTGTCACAGGTTTGCACCAGTGTGCCTGGAATACCAAGGATACAGCTGGTACTGCAATTTAGCTGTTAAACAAATGGTAACTTAGAGAACACAGATAACTCTCTAATTAAGTTACATTTGAATAATGACTAGTGGCTGTTGCTCAGCCTCATGGGGCCACTTCATTCTTAAGACAACAGAGATACTATAAACCAGGAAGGACAGGAAAGACATCTGTCTGAGAACTATCTACTGGCATTTTTAATCATCCATTTTTCGTTTCACAGCTTTAATATCTCAGGTGACAAAGACTGCCCCCACCTCTGCCTGAAGCCAGCAGCAAGCTGTGGAATAACTGCTTAGGAAATTTTTCCTTGACATTTAGCCTCCTTTTTAACTATGTTCATTTTAACTCATTAGGAGATTCTGGGAAAACAGTTAACACCAAATAATATATTCCTCTCTCTTCAGTAGTCATGGCTGTTTTCGCAGACAGATTTTAATTACATTGTATTTACATTCGCCTCTGCAGTTCCTTCTCGGGCAGGAATAGTTTTGCCTGTATAAATGGAACAGGCTTTGGTCCATTTTCCTATTTTGAGGACACAGTGGTAAACCATAAAATTTTGAATTTGTTAAGATAGTGAATCAAATTCACATTCATGAATAATCAAACCCACACAAACAGTTTAATAGTACTATATGGCTTCCAGGGTTGAAATGTGTGTCCACCATCCTTTATAATTAAAGAACGGCTGTAATATGTTTTATTGTATAATTTTGGACTGGTATAAAGATTTTTAATAATTTGAAACTCATGTGCAAATTCAGAATGATGAGCTCACCAAGAATAAATGCAATTAAACTGATATCAGAATAATAACACAGACTAGCTGTACCAGCATTTTAAAAGATTAATTCTTTTAATATATAACATCTAATTTATTGAAATTCATTTTAGTACTTTATATACTTATACACAGTCCAAAGATGATGTCTTTATGATTTTAGTGCATGTCTCTCTCATACCTCATAATCATTTATTTCCACGCTAAATATGCAGCACGCTTGGAGTATACAACTGAAAGATCCTGGATCATTCAAATAAATCTCACTTCACACAACTGGAGTTGAAATAATTTTTTTCTTCTCATATTTAAAGATAACTGGGTGATGTAGGACATGAGAACTGGAATGAGACCTTTCAATAGAAAGCCTGGCAGGGTAAAGAACTATTTAGTATTTGAAAATATGAATATTTCAGTATTGCGTTTGAGTTTTCATAGCAAACAGAATTTTAATTATCACTCCACCACAATTAGTGGGTTAAGTTTCAACCTGAGGCAGAGACTTTCTGTCACATTTGAGGCTGATGGTCAATATGTCTCTCAAACTACATCATCCTGAAAACAGCAGGGCTACAAGGCCAGCACTGAATGCATTCCAGCTCTTGGAACAATAGTGCCAATCATGTCGCTGGTTTGGAGATGGGCATGGGGAACACACAGGTCAAAGAACCTGTTTGCCAACTCCAGCCAGTACTGAACTAAGGACACTGAACTAAGGACAGACGTTCAGCTCATTGCCTACTAACACCTCCTACCTGCTGGCAGTATCCCACAGCTCCCCAGAATGCCCTTACTCTTTTTTACATTATGCTGTTCCTAAACATACCAGAGCATTTTGTCAGGACTCCAAATTTAGTATTTTTCTATTTAGGAACAGTGTGTGGTCTTCATGCTACAGTTACCCACGTAAATCAGTCTGGTAGCGTTTCTGCAGAGAAACTGAACTGCAGACCACTAGTAAATCATAGACACCATGATTTAATTTATAGAATATATATTAATATATATTTATTGGTAGAGAGATATAATGTGCAAATAATGGGTGAGATAAATAAGGCAGAGAGAGATAGAAAGAACTTTCCAAAGTTGTCCAAAGCCAAACTGTGAGAAACTTCTCAGTTTGTAATTCCAATCCATTGTCCTGCTCTTTAGGTCACCATTCTCTATTCCCTATAAAAATATTCTCAAGCAACCAGGTAGAAGCAAGGCCTACCTTTGCTACCTTCATGATTCATGAACACAAGCTTTATTTTTTAAGGATGTTCAGCATCTTCATCCATGATTGCTAATTCAATTAAACTGTGATACTGAAGTTATATTTGCATATATGATATATATAAGCAACTATTCAGAGTATTAGATATGCATATTAGAATAAAATGAAAACCAATATCAATAGGAGAGATCTGTTGTGTCAATGGAGCCCTCAGCACACAGAGGTATTCTTCTACACAGCCAGAATTATACACATTTTTAAAAAGAAAGTTCAAACCCATTCCTAAAGCTAACTACTTCCACACACACAGCTGCTTTAAGCCTATTGAAAGCATAACTGCTGTAAA